CATTACATATATAAAGCTGGGTTACACACACACATATTTATATATACATATATATATAGAGAGAGAGAGAGATTTTTTTAACAGCCATTCATTCCACTGCAGGACATAGGCCTCTCTCAATTCAGTATTGAGAGGTTATATGGCGGTGTCACCCTTGCCTGATTGAATGCCCTTCCTAATCAACCACGGTTCTGCGCGCTAACACTTGTGTCACGGCGGTGACTTACCCTAAGACACCTGCGTTTGACTTCTCAAGGCGATATGTCGTTTTCTCGGGCTCGAGCCAGCAGTTAGAGCGCAGGCATTTTTACGACCGCCGCGACGGGGAATTGAATTCGGGACCACGAGGGTCGGAGGCCAGTGCTCTAACCACTGGGCCATCGCGGCAGTACACAGATATATATACATATACTTATATATATACATATATGCATACATATATATAGATACAGATATATAGATGTGTGTATGTGTGTGTGTGTAAAGAGAATGTGTGTGTGTGTGTGTGTGTGTGTCTTCATAAAGAGAGGAGGGAGAGAGAGAGAGAGAGAGAGAATGAGTAATCTGAAATATATATATATGTATGTGTGTGTGTGTGTGTGTGTGTGTGTGTGTGTGTGTGTGTGTGTGTGTGTGTGTGTGTGTGTGTGTGTGTGTGTGTGTGTGTGTGTGTGTGTGGTATGTGTATATATGCATATGTATATATATATATATATATATATATATATATATATATATATATATATATGTATGTATATATACATATATATATATATTTATATACACATATATACATATATATATATATATATATATATATATATATATATATATATATATACATACACACACACACACACACACACACACACACACACACACACACATATATATATATATATATATATATATATACATATATACATGTATGAGTGTGTGTGTATGTGTACATATATATTTATATATATATATATATATATATATATATATATATATATATATATATATATATATATATATATATATGTATGTATATATATACATATATATATATTTATTTATATATATGTGTATATATACATATATATGTAAATATATACATATATGTGTATATATATACATATATATATATTTATTTATATATATGTGTATATATACATATATATGTAAATATATACATATATGTGTATATATATACTTATATGCATGTACGTATGTGTTTGTGTAACAATGCTGTTTGTGTAATAATGATATTTAAGTAAATGCATGTCTATTCTTAAATATGCTTATTTGCAAAGACGTACCTAAAATATGAAATTCCATCTTTGAGCCAAGTAGGTCATGGGGAAAGACAGTGAAAGATATCTGAAGAGTGAAATGGAAGAATGAAACGGCCTCAATTTCCCCAAAGGCCACTATTTACCCTCAAGCGCCATTTGGCCAGAAAACGACAGTCTTTCGGGCGAATTTAGGCCCCCGCAGTCATTAAGACGCAATAGCGGGGTAATCTAAACAGCTGGGAAGTGGCATTATGGATCAAGATGAAATTGCGCGAGCGTAGACCTAATGTAAGCAAAGCTGTTATTGTATTATAGTCCTAGTGAGTTATACACTTTTCCTAGTTATACACTTTTTTTTTTTTTTTTTTTTTTTGCTTGTTAGGGGGATCCAGGCGTGATGTTGTTGTTGTTGTTGTTGTTGTTGTTGTTGTTGTTGTTGTTGTTGTTGTTGTTGTTGTTGTTGTTGTTGTTGTTGTTGTTGTTGTTGTTGTTGTTGTTGTTGTTGTTGTTGTTGTTGTTGTTGTTGTTGTTGTTGTTGTTGTTGTTGTTGTTGTTGTTGTTGTTGTTGTTGTTGTTGTTGTTGTTGTTGTTGTTGTTGTTGTTGTTGTTGTTGTTGTTGTTGTTGTTGTTGTTGTTGTTGTTGTTGTTGTTGTTGTTGTTGTTGTTGTTGTTGTTGTTGTTGTTGTTGTTGTTGTTGTTGTTGTTGTTGTTGTTGTTGTTGTTGTTGTTGTTGTTGTTGTTGTTGTTGTTGTTGTTGTTGTTGTTGTTGTTGTTGTTGTTGTTGTTGTTGTTGTTGTTGTTGTTGTTGTTGTTGTTGTTGTTGTTGTTGTTGTTGTTGTTGTTGTTGTTGTTGTTGTTGTTGTTGTTGTTGTTGTTGTTGTTGTTGTTGTTGTTGTTGTTGTTGTTGTTGTTGTTGTTGTTGTTGTTGTTGTTGTTGTTGTTGTTGTTGTTGTTGTTGTTGTTGTTGTTGTTGTTGTTGTTGTTGTTGTTGTTGTTGTTGTTGTTGTTGTTGTTGTTGTTGTTGTTGTTGTTGTTGTTGTTGTTGTTGTTGTTGTTGTTGTTGTTGTTGTTGTTGTTGTTGTTGTTGTTGTTGTTGTTGTTGTTGTTGTTGTTGTTGTTGTTGTTGTTGTTGTTGTTGTTGTTGTTGTTGTTGTTGTTGTTGTTGTTGTTGTTGTTGTTGTTGTTGTTGTTGTTGTTGTTGTTGTTGTTGTTGTTGTTGT